TTTCCCTGGTGAGTGCATGCACCCTAAGGAAAAAACATGTAAAAAAATTTTGGGGTGGGAGGAGATAATTAATGAAGTTTATGTTTAGCTTTTTCTTTTTTTTCTTTTTTTAAAGAAATTCCTTGCTTTTTTAAAAAGAATTATTTTATTAAACTCTGCAGTTCGAGTGGGAGTCCAGCGTTCTTAACCACCATGCCACCTGCTGGCCCCAGCTTTTTCTTTTTCTCAATTGCCAGAGGGCAAGTATGCTCATCAGAGACAGCAAGATGTCCCAGGGGGGCATGATCATGCCATAATCTCTACTCCATTTCTCCATCCTGTCAGGATTTGGGGCACACATGCACATATGCCCAGCATGTTTTCCAAGCCACCAGGACAGGGATTTGACTATAGTCAGCCATGTGAGATCCAGTGCCCTTAACCACTAGGCTGCAGGGCTGGCCCTATGTTTAGTTATTATTCACTCAATCGTTCGTTGAAGACCAGTTGTGATCAGATGATATTTTATTTCCTTCTGATTCATAGTGAACAAATTTAGTATGCTTCTTTAAGAAGTTTGATCTCGTCTCTCTGTTCTTTTCTCCTCTAGGTTCCAGTTACAACCATCCCTTGCTATAACTTTTCAACTGTATTTGGAAAAATACTGGTCAGAAAAAAACATGATAAAGTTTTTCCTCATGGTGAATAAACAAGGACAGACCCGACTTTCTAAGTACTATGAACATGTGGACATTAATAAGCGTACACTTCTGGAAACAGAAGTCATAAAGAGCTGTCTCTCTCGATCCAGTGAACAAGTAAGTTTCTGATTCTTAGAAGGAATGAAGTGAAATGAAGACCGAAGGGAGCATAGCTCTCTTTGTATCCCTTTAAGAAAAGAAAAATAAGGAAAGCCAGGAAAAGTCTTGAGTTCTTATTTAGGTCAGCATATTTGTCTCCATGCACTATGGAAGTGGCAGCTAAATTTACTCCTGCTAATAGACCTAGCTTCTTTTCTTGTTCATATGAATTCAGCCCTTGGAACTCTTAGGAGTGCCTGTAGCAGGTGGCTTTCTGTAAGCCAGAAGCTGGTCAGATGACTGGTGTGGAAGTAAATACTCAGGACTCTTTATGCCAGAAGATTATAGTATGATCATCCTTTGGGGTGCAGTTTTCTTCTGCTTATTATTTTTGTTCATATACCACCAACATAATACTAGAACTTGTGTTTTAAAAAACAAAACAAACAATATAGAGATAAGAAGTGGAAGTTAAACATTTATATGAAACAGTGAATCTGCCAATCCTGCCAAAACGAACGTTAAGTAAAATTTTTAAAATAATAGTTCTGTTTTTACAAAGCACTTTAATTAGAGAATTACTTAATCCAGATCCTAACCTTCAAATCCATTAGAAATCACTCTGCGATGGAGACAAAATCAGAAAACTTGTTCAAATCATCCATTAATTTCGTCAGTTCTCTGTTTCACCGCCTAGATAGAAGGGCTACCTGTGGGAACCACTGCAAAGTCATGAAATATTAAGCTACATCAGTGTTCAGGAGTTATGTGTTACGAGTCTGTTTCCCTTGGCTTCTAGATTGATTTTCCAGTTGGGACATTTCAGAATTCCAGTTTGAATGACTGCTTTGGCCTGCCATGCCACACTGCTCTGTGTTATCAGACAGAAACAGAGACTGCTGAAGAGCTGTGCTAACAGCCGTGTTGTTTAAGAAAAGGCTACACTTCTTTGAAGCATTCCTGTTTGACTCTTGCTACAGAATCAAGACATCCCACAATTTCAAATGTCATTTTCCCTGATAGATTACCCCTTGAACTACAAGCTTTAGACTGAACATACTATTTGATATTTTTAGAGCATTCTAAATTATTTTAGATTTTAAAAAGAACCCACTGACTTTTTGGCATAATCAGGCACCCAAGTGGCATAATATCAGCTTAGTTTTTATTTTATCCACAAAGGTGCTTTGATACGTTTTTCAATGTCAGAAACTTCTGAAAGGCTTTGAAAAATGTTCCTCAGTTCTTTCATAGGTTGCGTTTCCTTGAAAGATCCGACTGAGCAGAAATCATACTGGTTCTAGTGAGCCAGAAGCTGCAGAAAGGTCCTGTACTTACTACCTTGATCCTAATTTTAAATAAAAGCCTCAAATCCTTCCATTTCATAGACTGTCAAATGTCTTTCCCACTGAAGAATTTCCATTATCAACATTTGCAGCTTCATTCCCAGGTGCATCCGGGCACCCATGAACAACGTATCCCAGTACAAAAAGCTGTAAAGTTCATGCTCAGTGGCATTTGGTCAAAGGAAGTCCAAAGGACTTCTGCCTGCTGTCCAATTCCTGCTCACCCAGTGCCTTCCTGTAACCCTTTGTACACGGGCATTAAGAGGGAGATGAATGAGAAGGAAGTTGTTTTATCCACCTGTCAGTGGTGGTAAGCTAGTTATTAATTCATACAAAGAATGTTTACAGTGGGAGATTTTGTCTAGCATCTGCCACACAAAGGCCATCTTTAAATAATTTATAATCTAAATTGTGTGTCCAGGAAAAAGTAACATACAAACATGTATATACATATATGTATGTTATGTGTGTTACATAGTTTTGGCTCTTTAATGACTATTCAATGTACAAAACGGACAACATGTGATTTCTCACTTTCTCTCTGTCTCTCTTTCTCTCTGGCAAGCACATGTGCCCTTAATAAAATCTCTCTTAAATTTTTTTTAAATAAAGAAACTGAGAACATATAATTGCTTCTAAGAATTCTGTGGAGAGATAGAAGGAAGAAAACCTTTATCGAGTTTGCTTATTTTCATGTTGGAGGCAGTTGGAAAGGCTGGTATTCATTAGCTGCTGAGTCCCACACAGAGGCAAGCAGAGGAATGGGAAGGAGAATACGTGGGAAGCCGTTTTTCAAGGCTACACTCAGCCTTTTTCCCAAGGCTACTATGATAGCTCCCATAGATAAGCTCTCAAGTAGTTCCCTAAATGTGAGGACAACAAAGGTTGTGCAACATCTTAATGCTTTATATTTCAAGGGGTATGTTGGCAGATACTCAGATCAGAACCTAGAAATCATGATGCCATTTTGCAGAAATCTTTGTCAACCATAGGAATTTATGTGTAATTTTGTTTTATCTAGTGCTCTTTCATTGAATATAAGGATTTTAAGCTGATCTATCGGCAGTATGCAGCGCTCTTCATTGTGGTTGGAGTTAATGACTCTGAGGTAAGATAATAAGCCTATGGAAAATGAAAGAAAATTCAAGAAAACAATCTGATTTTTATTCTCTCTTAAATTGACATTTTTTTTCCTACTTGCTTCCCAAAGAATTGTAATGACTTTTGGTGCCAGCAGGTGGCGTGGTGGTTAAGGGCATTAGATTCCCACGTGACTGACCGTGGTTCAGGTCAGGTCCTGGACCAGGCAGCTTGCTTTCCTGCTTTTCCTCTCTCTCTCTCT